GGAGAGGGTGGGGGAGGAGTGTGTGCACGATGTTTCCCCTACTCCTGGTCCTTGGTACAATCGAAAGAAGACTAAGAGGCTCTGCATGCCACCTAGCCTTCTCGCTTAATGGCAAGTCCCAGAATGAAAAGTCACCTGAGAGGCCAGAGCACACTGGACTAGGAAAGGCACTAAGGCTGCAGGGGAGGCTAGGGAGGAACAAGCCTGGCCTCAAAGATCAGGCTAAGGTCATCTCTAGAATGGTCATCAGGGGCACTCATCAGTGTTTCCACTGGATCAACACCCTAGTTCTGAATTTAAGTTTTCCCTTCTGTAAAAACAAAAGAATACTCACCTGCTTTACAGGGTTCCTTAACAGAGGGGAAATGAGAATCACTGTCCAAAACACGTGATAATGAGAGGCCCTCAACACAGGCTGTTTCCCCACCCTGAGAAAGGTAATGAAGGCTCGGGGAACTATGGTTTGGCGTGGAGTAAGGCTAGGAACACGGAGACCCCTCAGGAGGATATGAGGAACTCTCTATAATCTAGAGCCAGTAACGATGAGAGCCCCCAAAAGGGTTAAGGGCTTTAGCCTTGAAGAAAAGGATCAGGTCTGAGAGCTATTTGGGATGTAGAATCAGCTCAGCCTGGGAACTGATTGGATATGATGGTGAGGAAGGAGTCTAATGCAATGTCCAAATTTCTAGAAAACCAACAGATTAACGGTATCATCACTAGAGAAAATGACAGGTTTTCTCATGTTAAGCTTGGATTCCACATGTGATATTTAGGTGGAGAGGTCCAGCAGCTCATTCAGAAAGTCTGGGAAAAATCAGAGTTTGTGAAAACAAACTGGATTCAAAAAGTCTGAAATGTTGGCCCACAGAACTCAGTAAATCAAGGGACACATGGCAGTACTACATCCGTAGCCCATCACCCCTGACGAGGGGCTGCAGAGTTTCCTTGATAAGACTGAACATAGCAAATGGCATGTAGAGAAACAGGTATACTCTGAAAAGCAAAGTAATTCGAGCATTTTACCAGATCCGTTTTGAAGACAATAACTGCTCTTTAATGAATTTAATAAATTGCACCTTTCTGGTGAATTTTTTTTTTTTTTTTTTAAAGCACAATGTACAAGGAAGGAGAGCAGAAAGAGGAGAAGGGAAGGAGCATTCACATTTTATTTGGACCTGGATCTCAAATAGCAGATAAAAGTCCAACAGGTCATGCATACTAAGAATACACTAACAGGGGCACCTGGGTGGCTCAGTCATTAAGCATCTGCCTGCAGCTCTGTTCATGATCCTAGGGTCCTGGGACTGAGCCCAGCATCGGGCTCCCTGCTCAGTGGGGAGCCTGCTTCTCCCTCTGTCCCTCCCCCTCCTTGTGCTCTCTCTCTCTCTCTCTCACTGTCTGTCTCTCTCAAATAAATAAATATCTTTTAAAAAAAGAATACACTAACAAGACAGGCCCCACAGGAGTGTCCTCTGGAACTGCATGGCCAAGCGGGTGAGGATGGATACAGACCCAGGCTGTGGTTGGGAGGCTGTCGCTGTAGCCACTGCCTGCCCCGAGCCCCCTTCCCCACAAACACACACCTTTTGCACTGCTAGGTTCCCCCTTTTTTCCACAAACTAAGAACCTGTGTGTTCACAAGGGCCTGCCATCCAGGGGGCCTGGGAACTAAAAATGAATAAGGTGAAGTCTCCACAGCACGGGAGGCTAATACAATGGCTATCCTCACAGACAGAGGGGCAGTGCTCCTGCGGTTTGAGGGCCCTGCTCTCAGGAGCCTCCCCAAGGAAAAGCAAGAAAAAAGGAGAGCATGCAGTGGCCTCAAGGTGTCCCTTCCTTTGCTGGGGGGCAGCGGTAGCATTTACACCTGTACAGAGGAGTTTCAGGCCAAGGTAACAGCTGATGGCCCAGAGACTCAGTGAGGGTCAACCCAGGGGTTCTCCTCGGCTATGAATGAGCACCAGACGGCAACAGGAGGCATCAGAGCAGAGCAGAGGTCTATCTTTCATGACTCTGGGAGAAACCAAAGAAACTGTGGTAACTTGAGAGTAACAAACAAGACCAGACATCTTAGGAGGGGATAACAGCTTCACAAACCCCTAGTTGGAAAAAGTACTGAGCAAGAATGGAAAAGATGTTAGCCTTGATTAACAGGGCACAACTTTTCTTCTTCTTCTTCTCCTTCTTTTTTTTTTTTTTTTAAGATTTTATTCATTTTTTTTGACAGAGAGAGAGAGAGAGAGAGATCATTAGTAGGCAGAGAGGCAGGCAGAGAGAGAGGGAGGGAAGCAGGCTCACTGCTGAGCAGAGAGCCCAATGTGGGGCTCGATCCCAGGACCCTGAGACCATGACCTGAGCCGAAGGCAGAGGCCTAGCCCACTGAGCCGCCCAGGTGCCCCCCCACTTTTTTAAGAGTTTATTTGTTTGAGACATAGAATGAGAGAGAAAGAGCACACAAGCAGGGACAGAGGCAGAGGAAGAAGCAGGCTCCCCTGTTTCTCCTCAGCAGGGGAGCCTGACTTGGGGCTCAATCCCAGGGCCCTGGAATCATGATCTGAGCTGAAGGCAGATGCTTAACGGACTGAACCACCCAGGAGTCCGTAATTTTTTGTTTGAGAGAGAGAGCGCGAGCAAGGGGAGAAGCAGAGGGAGAGGGACAAGCAGACTCTGTGCTGAGCATGGAGCCCGATGCAGGTCTCAATCCCACAACCCTGAGATCACGACCTGAGCTGAAATCAAGAGTCTGACACCCAACTGACTGAGCTGCACAGGCACCCTGATAAGGCACAACTTCTAAGTATATTTTGAGCACTAAAGATTTTTCATTTTAACAAAAAACATTTTTTATATACCCAATAAAATGGTCCCATATGAAATTAAGAATCAGCTGAGCAATAATACCAAAACACTGTAGATAGGTATAGTTGTAAAACTATGTCAAAATATAAAAGCAGACTGACCCAGCTTGGAAAGTTTACAATCCTAAAAAAGAGAGGAATGGTATGTATTTTCAAAAGACTAACATAAGATTTCTACATACACACGGCTTTGATTCCAAGTCCAAGTTTTCTTCCACAATTTGGACAACTTGGAACATCGTGGATAAAAAGGAAAAATAAAGTTCCATGGAAGAACAAAATGAAAACATTGGAGAAAAGAAAGTGAAAATTTCAACCACTGATCAAGTAGGCTAATAATAAGCAAACTGTCCACAAAATACATCTGTATGCAGGCTACATTTTTTTCTTCAACAAAGTAAAGAACTGTAAAAATTAAGTTCTAAAGTGCACAAGTCACTAGATATCTCAACAAATTCATCTGCTGGGATAGGGGGAAATACCCATGAACTTCTGATATTCATCTAGAATTCTTGATTATACAAATTACAGGGGTAGGTAAACACACACACGCACACACGCACACACACATCACACCTGTATATACACACCATTTTAACAGGCATCATGATAATGAGCACCATAACCCAACTTTTGGCAACATACACCATTGACTATCACCTGCCATGGAAAAAGTGAATCAGGTGATGATACTGAAGGCTCAAGTTGCCATATTTGATGTAAAAATGTCAAATAAAAATAATTTCAATTTCACAAGTCAAACACACATCTCCAAAGTCTTGTAACCTTTCTTTGTTATTCCCATTTGCTACTCTCAGAAAGGGATTAACAACAGCTCTCCCATACCACCCAACAATATTGAGGGGAAAAGAAAGGGAAATCAGATAATAATAGTTAAACATTCACTGTTAGATTCAATGCAAGGAGATGATGATAAAGCTTTCATGTACTGTGTTTGAACTGCTCCTCAGGTGAACGTGGCTTACACCTGTCACACTATCTCACAGGGAAGCTTTGGTTCCTATTTCCTGGGGTTGCCGAGAAGACGAAATAAGATGATACATGAGAAAGAGCTTGAGAAACGACCTCCTGAGTGACAGAAGTCAATAATATGCCTGCATTTGAAATTAGAGAAAATGACTAGGAAGAAAATAAAATAATGGGCAGGAAAACAAATAGGGTTTTTATACGTACTCATATGTCATATGCACAAGGATAGTAAAATTAAATCGTATGGATTTGTCATTGTTAAAAATGTATTTTCCCTGTTGCTGTAATGCTGTAACAAGTGCAAGTAAAAACTCGTGCCAGTGGAGGAACTAAGAGGCCTCCAACACAGGGAGTCAGTACGTAACTCTGTAAAATAAAAGCCTCACAGCCATACTGTCTGCCTAAGATGTCTTCCTAATGAACCAAAAAGTTTTTATCCAGGAAGGAAAAAATGGTCTTCGGAATCGGAAGGGCCTATCACTCACCAGCTCTATCACCTCAGGCAAGCTGGGTACCTTTTAAATCTCTGATTTTTCACGTATAAAAATGTGCAAAGATGTTAGGAGGACTGAATATGAAGCATCGGTGCCCAGAGGATGGGCGTTTTCTCTCCGCCCCTCCCAGAGCCCTTCCTGATCATCCCAGCAAACCAGGGGAAGAATACATAGATCATTTACCCCTTTTCCAGCACTTATTGCCTGGAAAGTTCATATGGTACTTAATTATATACGACTTTGTGATATATTAGCTACTGCTGCTGAAATCATCACTGACTATTCAATTTTTTGTGAATTTGGGGTTGTTCCTGCAGCCAGACAACATTGCTTCAAATGAAGCCCCTTCCCAGTGTCATCTCCCGGGGCCCCAGCAATACACCTGCAGCAGGATCGTTGAGTTACTCTGCTACCCAAGAGCAGTGAGGACCTGGGCTGGGTGGGGAGGTTGGAGGTTCTGAGACAGGCCAGGAGAGCTGCAGCTGCCCTCCTGGGAGCCTCTCAGCCTGTGTCCTGGAGAAATTCTACCACCACTAAGCCTCATGTCCCTTACTTCCATTTTACTTGTCTAGGCACAGGTCAGGGAGCAGCAGGTACAGCTGATGACTGCAGGGGAAGGGATAGGAAGGGCACAGTAGCAGGATGCAAGCTCACCTACCTGGATGAGATAGTGGGAACATAAATTGAGAAGCTCCAACAGTTGTAGGTGACTGCCAGCTGCTAGCACATCCTGGATCACACCCGGCTCCAACAAAATCTGTTTTGTTTTTTAATAAAAAGAAAACTATCAGTGACTTAAAAATTAATGCTTGCTTAATATGCAAATCCACCATATTTAAATTGCTGCTTAACATATGAGATCTGAAATAATACTGTACTTTATTACAGAAGTCAGTTCTTTTTTTTCTATTCGATCGAGCTGGGGCCCCCACTCAAACAGCTGAGTTGTCACTTCCAGAACTCACTTCCTGTGTGTAAGGCTCTGCACTTAACCACTTATTTTTTGCAGGAGGACATGAACATTTGCAAAGAACATTGAATATTGTTAAAATTCTGTGTGATGGAAGTAATCTTATAAAATCCAGAACAACCAAATTTTAGTTTTTCAAAGTATATTTCACAATTTTGGAGATCACAGAAACAGCATGGTTAGCAGATACTTTAGGAAAAGGGGGCTTATGTTCTCCCCTTTCAATAGGAAACCAGAGGTGGCTACTACTCCATTTTACTTCTAAGTCCTACAATAGTAAACTTCAACCACAAACTTTCGTTTTCCTTTTTTCTCAATCTCAGATTCTCTAATCCTTTCGCTTTCATTTTTTTATTATGTTATAGTAGTCACCACATTAGTTTCTGATGTAGGGTTCCAAGATTCATTGTTTGCATATAAACCCCAGTGCTCCATGAAATCCGTGCCCTCCCTAATACCCATCACAGGGCTCACCCAACCCCCAACCCCTTCCCCTCTAAAACATTTACTTTGTCTCCCAGAGTCCATAGTCTCTCATGGTTCGTCTCCCCCTCTGATGTCCGCACCCCCCTTCATTTTTCCCTTCCTTCTCCTAATGTCCTCCATGCTATTCCTTATGTTCCACAAATAAGTGAAACCGTATGATAACTGACTTTCTCTGCTCAACTTATTTCACTTAGCATAATCTCCTCCAGTCCCATCCATGTTGATGCATAAGTTGAAGTCCTTTCTATTTCAAATGGAAGATGTAGAAACAGCATTTTCAGACTACAAGGACGTCACAGATAAGGAAAGCTTCCCAAATACACTAGTCATACCAGTTCTGCATTTTTTTTTCTGGTGAAGTCCAACTTTGTGCCTACTGTTGCCAGCTCCTGAGCTGTTGAACAGGGCTGCAGAAAAACACAAGACTACTCTGACTGGATGCACACTACCTGCATGACTGCCGGGCAGAGGGAAGCCTTCTGTGCTGCTCCGCCATTCCAGCCCAGCCCCAAGCCCAGTGGTTCCCAAGGTCTCATCTCAGGACCAGCAGCAGGAGCATCACCTGGGAATCTGTCACAGTTGCAAATTCTTGGACGTCTCCCCAGACCTAAATGAATCAGAAACTTTCACAATGAGACCCAGCACCGAATGTTATAACAAGGCCCCTTGTCATTGTGGAGCACAGGGAAGCCTGAGAAACACTGGTGTGGTCAATTCACTCTACCTCTTCCCTCATACTCCTTTCTCCTCAAGCCTCCTGCTCCTCCTTTCTCTCCTTACTCTAATCCTATGATCTTCCAAAGCCTCCCACCACCAAATCTACCAAGTCACCTCTCCATATTTGTATCAGCACATTTGAATTTACCAAATACTCCATTTGTGGAAGACATCTCAACCCCTTCTGCCAGCCATTGTCCCCTCTTCCCAGGGGGTTATCTGTTCTCTTTCTTCTCTTGAAAACTCCCATCAGCATAAAAATGTGCCTTGACAGCACATTTGACCTATCTTAAGAAATAAAAATCCCCCCCTTAACCCCAGAGCTTCTTCCATGCCCCCTGCCCCTTTAAAGCAAAGTTCCTCAGGAAAGTTGTCCACATAAAACACCACTATTTGCTCTACTCCATTCTCTCTTGAACCCACTCCTGTTAAGTTTTGTTCTTAATATTCCTCTAAAAGTGTTTTCATCAAGGTCACCATTGACCTCCAAATCCCATGCCCAAATCCAATAGCCATTTCTCAACATTTAATCTTACTCAAGCCAACAGCAATTAGCAAAGTCCATCTCTCTACTGCTGGAACAATATCTTCCCCTGCCTCTGTGACAGCATTCCCTCTCATGCCTTCTTCTACTTCACGAACCACTCCCTCTCCATCTCCTTCCCAACTGGTAAGCTTAGGGGACATTCCTAACTCATTCCCCAGATCTCTTCTTTCCTCTCTCTGCTCATTCCATGGATGTTCTCCTATAATCCCATAACTTTCAAACCACCTATACTACTCATTACACTCACATTTTTTTTTCTCTAGCCCCAACCTCACCTTCACACTTCAGACTCATTTATCCAACTGCCTATCTCCACTTGGATATCTAATGAGCAGCTCAAACTGAACATGTCCCAAACTGATCTCCTGAGCCTCTCTACCAACCACCAAACCTGCCCCTATTCCAGGCTTAACCACCTCAGCAAACAGCAACTGCTGGTTATTGAGGTACAACCCCAGTCAATTCCTGACTCCTCTTGTGTCCTCCTACCTCATATTCCATCATCAGCCACTCCTATTGGCTCTATCTTCAGAATAGTTCCAGAATCCAATCACCACTCAGTACTATCGCCAGCACTACCACTCCTGTCTAATCCAGTCTTCCTAGACTTACTAGAATGGCCTCCTAACTAGTCAAACTGCTTTCTCCTTTGTCCCTTCAGAGTGTTTTTAATAGTACCAAAAAAACTGATCCTTTAAAGGCATCAGTGAAATTGTTACTCCCTTTGTAAGGGCCTATTTAGCCCGAGGATTCCATCTGGTTAAACAATGACTTTGAATGACTTTGTTGTTTATACAGTAAAACTTAAACTGTCCCTGCCCCCTCTCCCCCCAGGGGACTTACTTAAAAAACAAGTCCCAGACACCGGTCCCAGGTAACAAAGCCTAAATACAAGGGTGGGTCAAGCCAGGTGGAGGTATCCAATCGGTGGGGGCCCACATACGGTCTCCCTAGCTACCAAGGAGTATGGGCCCTGCCCTTTGGGCGCCTTTTGGGCGCCAATTCTGACCAAGGCGATAGGCTAGTTCAAATATCTACTATAGGGTAAACTGTAATTCAATTGATTTAATTGGTCACTTATGTGTGACCTAGCATGACTGTGCAGGTTTCTCTGTGTGTTACAATCTCATTGGCCACCTGTGTGTGGCCAGGCCCAACCACATGGCCTTTATGCTTAAAAGCTAGTCTGTAAGGCAGAGAGAGGTCGCCTCTTCACAAGAGACGGCCCTGGCCGGTCAGTTCGATTCTCGGTGCTTGGCGAGAAATAAAGCTTTGCTTGACCTTCGCTTTGTATCAGTCTCACTCCTTTGATTACGGACCCAACACCTTATGCAGACCTCTCCAGCAAATTTTTATCCCATTGGAAAGGAATCCAATCTTAAAAGTTTCTGTGAATATCCTGAGTACCTTGGTGTCTACACCTAGCTGCTATTTTCTCGGCTTGGGTCAGTCTTCCTCAAGATATCAGCATGGCTCACTCATTCATGCGCTTGGCTCAGACCTCTGCTCAGATATCCCCTTACCTGAGAGGCCTTCTGTGGCCGTCCTCGATAAAACAGTACCTTGCTGCCCATCACCCTAGTTCCCTATCTCCTTACTTCACGTTATTCTTCCTAGTACTTACCACCTCTCGACATCATACATATTTATCTATGTGACTATTTTCTGTTTCTCCACCCACAGCTTAGAAGATCCAGGAGGCAGGGGCTTGGTCTATTCTATACCCCCAGCGCTGAGAATAATGCCCAACATAGCTTTTACTCCATATTGGGTGAAATGATTTTAATAAATTATTGGCGAATTAATTTATCTCTAGATAGATTTTTTAAATTCAGAATTACTTTCATTGATTAGTATAATGTAAGCGGAAAGGGATTATAAATTTTATTTATTTATTTATTTATTTGACAGACAGAGATCACAAGTAGGCAGAGAGGCGGGCAGAGAGGGGTGGGGGGAGGCAGGCTCCCTGCTGAGCAGAGAGCCCAATGCGGGGCTCGATCCCAGGACCCTGGGATCATGACCTGAGCCGAAGGCAGAGGCTTTAACCCACTGAGCCACCCAGGCGCCCCTATATTCTTTTCTAAAAATGATTTTTATTTATCTATTTATTTGTCAGAGAGAGAGAAAGAGAGCACACAAGCAGGGGGAGCAGCAGGCAGAGGGAGAAGCAGACTCCCCACTGAGCAGGGAGCCCGGTGCGGGACTCTATCTCAGGACCCTGGGATCATGACCTGAGCCGAAGGGAGACACTTAACCAACTGAGCCACCCAGACATCCTTATATAAATTATACTCTGAACTACTAACGAAGTGAAAAAGTTACGCACGTGTGGCAAAAATACCAACACTCATCTCATTTGCAAAATTTTTTATAGCTCCTTCCCCATCTAGTCAGAAGGAGAAATCCTGAATTTCTCCCGCTCCTCAAGGAGAGAGTCTTTGACTGACGTTCAGGAAATTGTTGCAGCTCCCATCACAGAAGCAAGGATGTAGCATATTCTCCCAGAAGAGGCCTGGCCTGAGGCACCGAACGGAAATAGATGGATTAGAAAGGTTAGTCTGAGCCTTTAAATCCCGTCAGCGGCGCTTATTTCACACAACTGGCATTCACGATAACCTCCAGGGCTCGGTAATGCCCAGCACAAAGACAGATGTCACAGACGAGACCAACACTCCGAGCACAGGCCACACGTCTGGCGGGCTCGCTCCGGGAAGCCCTCGCAGGATATGCTCGGACTGGGATTGTTCTGCCTTTGTTTCCTGTTTCTCTGTTCTGTAGTGTTCTCTTCTTTCATTATCACATAAGTTTTTCTAGAAGATACTTTAGCACAGGAAATCCCAAGTGCATTGAAAGGACACAGTTTGGAAAGAAAGAGAGAGAGAGGCAGAGAGAAACAAAACAAACAAAAAAACAAACCATACTAAGAAAGCTGTGGGTCTCACTTACAGAAACAGAACGAGTGTTGGCAAAGCCCCGCTTGCACTGGAGTCTTTCAAATTCAGCTTTGTTGCCTTCCGTGACTGGTTGTTCTAAT